TTACATTGCATAATTAATCAAGCAGCCGATATCCAATTGATAATTACGCCCAGTTCCTTTGTTTCGTTAGTCGAGGCGTCACTTTCAGGCAAACCGATCCAATACTTTTATTGATAAATGAACCGGCATGGCAGCGTGATTTTTCAAGGGGTCGGCTACCGTGTAGGGGGAAGAAGGAAACGCGACCGGAGAGAGAAAGGAAGATAGGACGCCAAGTCGATAGCCGAGCGATGGACGATAGGTCCTGTCGAAGTAGGCTTCTTCAGAGAAGAGGGTGACGGGCTTAAGGGGAGGGGAGGGACGGTTATAAACGCGTATTACCAACTCATTAGTAGGTCCATTAGGAACAAAGCTAAGCACATCCACGTCATTCCATTATTGCGACTCGGACACTAATTAGATCGATCATTATGCCACGTTTAAATATTTCCTTACATCGATGCCTGTTTCGTGTATCGTTCCCATATACGCATGCCTACCCGCACCGGTAAGGACCGCTTATTTGCAACACACTCCGAACTGGCTGCCGTGTACAACGCCGACGTAGTTGTGCAATTAATTCCATTAATTTACTTGAAAATCTATCGCGGTCGCGCGGGGAAAGTAGCCTTTCACGCAAAGTCGCAGCTGATTCGGAATTAATTGCAAATAACGTCGAATCGATCGCGTTCATAATCCGGCATATATTGCGCGTGATTCGAGCGCAATTTGCGATTGATAAATGCCACCGGTGACTGACGAGCTTGATTAAATAATAGGAAATTAAAACCGGGGAAACGCGACAGCGGGACCGTGTGTCCGATGGTTTCATACCGGAGGCCAATAAGCGACCACCCCCGTTCACACGATTTTACGCGCGCGCACACACACACGCGTCCGCGAGAGGTCTGTGCACGTGCAAATATATATCGAACGTATAGTTTATACGAGCGTGGACCATGAAACAGTGCCGATGAAAGAACGTTTGATTAGCATATTGAAGCATCGAAATGGAGTGAATGCGGATGGAAACGTGCGGTGCTAGTCTCGTCCCCGTTGAGCCTTTAATTCTCGCGCTATTAACCGAGCCGCGATTCTTTCGGTAGGTAAAGATCGTCGATCGCGCGGCCGCGCTTTTCCTGTGGATTTAAGATAAAGAAAACGAGAGATGAAGGGGACGGATACGAGCGAGAAAGAGCGGCCGGGGGTAAGAGGGTAAACGGTTATGGGGGTTGGGAAAGGACGGCCGTGAAGTAAATAGGAGTCCTGGCCGTTCTGCCGTAAAATTGTATGTGAAATTGTGCGATGTGTCTTGCGAATTGAATCGCCGGAAACGACATTGATTTTATTGCTTGTTTTCAGTGCTGTATATATACCTCGTCCCGTTCTCCACTCCGCCTTCCGACGAACCTCACCCTCTTGCTCTCTCCTTCGCGTTCCACCCTACGCCTCTTTCCATCCATCGCTCCTTGCCCTCTCGCACTGTTTAAACTATCCGCCAACACACTTTCCACCCGGATCCTTTCTCTATTATCCGCCGAACGAAACTTCCGCCGCGCGAATACATTAAATACCGTAGGTGTAGGTAGAGCTACTCGAGAGATTTACTACCGAATACACGGAAAGTCGAAGGAAGAGAGACAGGAAAAAGATCATTAGCAAGAAATCGGGTGAATCGTCAACGCACGAGTGATCTTTAATGCAGTGAATCATCATCGAGCAAAAACTTTTTTGATCAGGCGATTCGACGTAATGTCGGAGCCACGATGGCCTGGCTGTGGTTCTGACGGCCGCGGTCGGGGCAAAAACTACCGTGAAAAATCGTAGCCGAGCGAGATTAATTGGGTTTATTAACGCGGACGGAAAGAACCGTCGTATTACCAGGCAAAATTCCAATCCCCGTTCGCGAATATTTTTCCGGATATAGGACCAGGCGTGTAAGAGGATCGAGGTAGTTGGATCAGCAACCATCCGCGAGTTCCGCCCATAATTTGTTTTCAATGATTTACCACGGGCTAATTGCAGAATGCAGCGAGCGGTAATATCGCTTTGCAGCGTTACGTCCGGGAGCTAGCTATACTTTAGTTTGCAATTTAAACTTTACTTCCTCCGGAATTGATTAGCTTTTAGTAATTAAGCAAGCAACGCCTTGGACCACCCCCTACCCCGGACGATCCACTCTCACCCACCCTCCGACCACCCTCTGTTATACCCACCACCTTCGCCCTCTTCTCCTTCTTCGCCTCCCGGCCTTCTAGTTTTCCCTCTTCTCTCGTTTCTCTGCTCACAGTTGTCGGATACGCACACACACACACACACACACTCCTCCGAATACTACCCTAACTGCGCCTGCGTCCAAGCGCGTGTGCGCTCACTCTTTCGTACAAGTGCATACACGCACCCATACAACGGGTTCACTCACGCACCGACTTATACGAGGGCGTACACACGCCAGTCCACCCAACTTCCTCTTCTGGCACGTAACCCTCCACTACCCTCGCAACCCCACGGACTCTCTTCCTCTTTCTTCCCTCGTCTTCTCTTTCCTCCACCACGATTTCTCCTGTTCACCCTCTCTGCGTCCCGCCGCGCCGCGCCACGTTGCACGGGCAGGTTTTAATCAACGCTTTACGAGTGTGAGACACAGGAAGTTAAGCCGAGGAGAAGTCCGAAGAGCGGCGGTCTACGTACACAAACTGTGGCCGATGTGTTCGGGCCCCCGTATATATTTTTTGAGGCGCGCGAAAACGTAACCCCGAATCCGAACTCCCGATGCCTCGCGTGTGTTTTCCGTCGAATCGAGTGCGAAGCAATTTCGCCAAGGAATGCGTTTCCCTCGATACCTCGTGTATACCGGGGTATAGCTTGCCCAGACGGGACAGGCTCAACCAATTTCAACTTCCATTATACACCCTTACCCGATTCCGTGGACGTATTTCCAAAGTATGCAAAGCGACTGATCTGGATTTCCATGGTAATCTCACCGCTTTACGCTCTCCCTACCGTGTACCGCGGCGACGACGACCTATCATCTCATCTTCTCACATTTCTTTTACATTTCATTTTTACTCACCCCACAAACAAATCGTGTTATTTAACTTTTGTTATTATTTTTTTTACTCGTCAACGAATTAATAGAATTCCTTATGGAACGTCTTACTCGAGTAGAACTGAAGTGCATATACAATATTAAGATCGTAATCAAGACAATTGCAGGTAACATCAAATCTCGTTTCCAAGCCACGTACAACAGCGACAGGTTTTGGAAGTTCGCGCGATCCCGCCACGTGCCACGGCGCACGACGAATTTAAAAACGCAATTTACGGACAATAGAACGGCGGCCGGGGTATAGTAACCTTCTCGACGGGGAGGATAGGGTCTCCCAATGTAGAACAAGGACCAGGTTAGCTACCGATCCTATCGAGAGGAACGATGGAAGGGAGGAATTCTCGCGAAGCCGCGAACCGATTTCCCGTTCTTTGACGCCCACACTTCCTCTCACCACCCACCCCCTCCCGCCTATCCCCTCGCGACCTCGACATCGTAAAAATGTTGTTTTTTAATTTAGGGGACGCCGCGAGGTTAATATACGGCTTTAATTCCAGGATTTCATTTAGGGGTCGGTTGCCTCTGCATTTCGAGTATTCACGGGAGAGCGAACCACGGTCCTCGGATATCAGATATAGAAAGACTGAGAGAATAGAGGCGTGGAGAGGTGTACACTCGAAAGACTAGAGCTTGACCACTCTCGCCATTACTCAAATAGCCTTTCATGCGGCGATGGACAAACATTCGAGGCAACAAAATAGTTCGATTTCCCTTCTAACAGCTACTTTAATTGAGAGCTTGATTGATCCAATCCATTTTTCCAATAAATCCATCAAAAACTAACACGATACTCTGAATCCTTCCACCATTTCGTAACATGTACTAATTTATCGGCCGTAATTGTTTAAATCAATGTAGAATATCCATCGGTTAATCGAGTGATTGTAATCGTCGAAGAAACTGGTATCGGTTTGGCAAACGTTAACGCGACCTTCCGAGCCACCCTTCTCGGGGCAAGTGCGGCGGGAACGGCGGCGGTCGGTCGCGCTAAGGCAATTAAAGCTCCACCCAATTAATGCCACGGCGGGGGTTGGCGCGGGCCGACCGTTGCGAGGACAGCTTCCTATCTCGCTCTCTCCTTTACGTCCCTCGCAAACAACGCCTTCTTGCTCGGCGAACGCGGCGCGGAAATTTCATTCGGCCATTGAAACGTAAATGTACGCCGCGGCGAGCATTTCATTCGGCCGTTGAATGCCGCGGATTGTCCGATAATGCTCGATTTATACCCGGTCGAATTCAAAAGGACGACGGTTATATTGTGCAATACGCGTCGCTCATAACCGCGCCTCGGATTTATTTCGCGGAACGGCGACGATTCGCAAGTGCGTGCGGGGCAGCGCATATGCATTCCGCATCGAGTTACGCGCCGCGATTCGCCAGCCCGCGGTACCGGCCAGCTGCAGTCAAAAACAGTACGCAACAAAAAAGAACTGCCTTGTGGGGGCACGTACGATTCGTGGAATGCGCACGTGATCCGAGAAACCTTACGATTGTACTCTGAAGGTAGTTACGTGAGAATAATAAGTGGATAACCCGCGGGTTGTTTACATCGCTACGAGCGAAAACAAGAATCCTAGTTACATTCACGAATTGTAATCACCTACGTTCTAATTTTGCGGTATCAGATATTATTCCAATATTAAACGAAGCAAACATAGTCATCACGGTTGGTACAACAAAAACGTGCCGCAGCGCAGAATAGATTAGCCCTCCTACTAATTAAAACGTCCCGCATCGGAACCGGTAAAAGCTACGTTGAAAATCGAGTTCCAACGTTCGCCACCATTCTAATGAAAGATTTATCAATCGGCCCGTATCGTCGCATCATAAATCGATTTTGAAACTATTTACGCAGCCGTGGCTGAACCACACGTGTACCAATTTATTTATGAGACAATGCGCAGGTACTCACCGATTATCGAAGACCAGGATCACGTAGTGGAAATCCGTAACTCTCGGCGGATAGGCAGTTCCCTGGATCCTCGGTGCGAGTGGACACTCATGTGACACATGCGTCGATCGGAGCAGGTTCCCGAGAACACGGCGAAAGAACGTGCGGAGGATAACTCGAAGAGAGCAGGATTCGAAGCGAGAGCCAGGAAACCAGTTGGCGGATGGAATATAAAAGGAGAAAGAGGTTCTCGATATCCAACACTTGCGAGTCACTTGTCGCACGAATATCGATCGATCGAACCCGTGTGTACGCGTGCCGCTGGAGTCTCGCGCGGTACGAAAATGAATTCAATTCATTAGTGGTAGCGGATATCTCGCGCACGCGGTGACGGTGCCGTGATGCGTTGCTGGTGGTGCGCGGTCGCGGCGACGTCGAGTGGAAAAAGGGTATCGGCGCGAGCGTAGGTCACGCCGGTCAGCGTGCGACGGCGGCTCACTTCGGAATGAAGTGGAGAGAAACGCGAGCGCGACGCGAGCGCGGCGCGGCGAGGACGACGACGACGATACGCGAGACAACGCGACGCGGGACCGCCAACCACTCGGCGCACTCGCGGCTCTAGACTTTGCTCCCTCGGCTCCGTGCTCCGTTTTCCTTTTCCTCGCTTCTCGTCCTCCGGACGACGCCGCTCGTCGCTCCATACTGCGACGTCATTCGGCACGTCACGCGTGGCCGTGCGCAGACGCGGTTGCCCGTTCGGCGCGTGTCGCGCGTGATACACGCCACCAGCTACCCGTGTCGTGTACAAACTACGGTAAACACTGTTCGTACCCCCTATAAGTGGCTGATGGTTTTCAGCTTTTAAACAGTGTTTGTAGACGTTAGAACGATTCGATATGTGAAAATCATAAAATTTTAACAGATAGATATTATCTCTTGAACTTTTTAAAATTCGCAAGTCAAATTCGAATCCTTGATTAGCACATTTCAAATATTTCTCTAGCGACTATTGTACAGGGTAATTAATAACAACCCTCAGAGACTAGATCTTGCTCACCGAAAATCGGGATTGTAGAGCGTGGAGGGTTGAAAGAGACAAATGATCTTGTTTTTATGCGAGAATTCTAGAACTAGTGGATGGAATATAGAATTAAGGGAGTTAGCTGTGTTTAACGACGTCGCGAACTGATAAAAGCTCGAGCGCTTTTTATATTGTATCGTCACAAGATTCTTTACAGCTGAGAATGGCGGATAGGGTTTCAAACGCGATCGAAAGGAAGCTGTGAGATTGAGTTATTCATTAAGCGAGGTATTCTTTTGTTTCTCTAAATCTAAATTGAATCGAATGGAAAGGAAGATGGTTGTATGCACGTTTCGACGAATGGTGACGACGGATGGCAATAGTTAGAAGCCATGATTATCCTGTGACGAGAGAAAATATCCAAATCGGCTGTACCGGACAGTGCTACGGAAGGGACTGCGATAATTACTGCTAATGTAAATGTTCGTTAATGGGCGTTATTAAATGCAACACGGGAAAATAGTCACCGTCGGCGTCAGCGGCAGTAAAAGCTGCACCCACGCCCGCTAACCGGTCCAATTATATTAATTAAATGAACATTATAATTAGCTAATTAAATCAAAAGCATTTCGGTAGGCGGGCTAGCGCGCGTGAGATTCGTGTACCGCGGGGGGAGACGAGCGAGCTGATTTTCGGCGTGCGCGTGCTCCGTGTCGCAGGAACACGATAAAGGTTTCACAATGACACCGGTAAGCGGTATTGTACAGGCTAGATTTTCCATGATTTTACTGGCCAACCATTTCAGCCAGACTGAGATTACGCGATAATCAAATTCGTTCGCGGCAAACAAAATGACAGAGTGCTCAAACTGTATTGTTAACCACCGTGCCGCGTACGCATTAGGAGTTTAACAGTGGCGGCGGCGATCGAACGGGGTAAGCGGTCGCTCCGAGCCACCGCTGCGCCGCGATTGAAATTTTCCCCGTTTCTCCATCGGATATTGTACACCGGCCATACCGTGCGAGCAAACGAGCGCGAGCAACGGATTATTCCGACGGATTTTTTAATCGAATTCTGCAGGGTGATATCAATGTTTCCGAAAGAGAAACGGGGTCAATTAAAATTAATGGATAGCATAATTAGGAAAGTCGTTACGGAAGCTCGCGCGCGAGGTACGCTTCAATCCAATCAAGGGAACGAGTACCTTTTCTCGTATTTAAAAAAACTTGAAAATTTCTGTGCTGGCCAAAGTGAAACGTCTGAAAAATGAACTCCCAGTTCAGTCGTCGAAAGACATTAACGCGTCTTGCTTCATCCACTTAACCGAATGCATTATTTGTGTAAGACGTAAATTCGAATGAGAGAGAGAGAGAGAGAGAGAGAGAGAGAGAGAGAGAAGTAGCAAAGTGCCGACTGTTTATTACTAGGTGTGTCGAGAAACGGACAACGACCACGGAATAGGTTCAATTATTTTAACGAATCGCGTCTGCGTGAAACGACGTCTCGATCGCGTGATCCCTAATCGCAAATAATTGTAAATCAAAGCCGCTACTGCGGTGGCGGTTACCGATACGCGTGTACATTCTCCTGTTATGTACCCCCGTTGTCTTTGTGCCGTGTACACGTGGCGACGGGTGTGTGCGAGCGTACGTGCACAGGAAGCTTTGCATTGCAGGCCAGCCGGTTACAGTGACTCTCGAAAAGCACCTCGTGTCATTAGTATGTTAATTGGTAACGGTCTGCCTGCCTACCCGGCTGGCTGCCACATCGAGTTCTCGTATACATATACGTCGTCAGAGCTCCGACGTGTTTATACGTTAAGATGTTTAATCGCTTCTGTAATTATACTGTCCCTCAAAGGGTTAATTGTCCCATAAACCCATGAATACGTTAACGAGCGACGCTGCCGTGCGCCTCGCGAACATCGCCAAAGAACAAGGAGCCACCGCCCCCGTAGTAGGATGACGAGGACGGTGGCCGAGGTAGCGAGGGGATCGACGAACGCACACACGCGACACGGGAGGGGTTGAAATCACGAGGAAGAAAAGGGCAGAGTATTGCGTCGTAATACAGATTTCAGCAACTCTGACGAAGTAGAACGCGCGGCCTCGCTGCGAGACGCGATCGTAAACCGCCGAGCTACGGAGTGGAAAACGAATTGGAAAATCGGCCGATCGTCCGTTTTACAGTTCCGAGGACGTCATTTGTTATTTTCCACCGAGAGGTTTCAGGAGTCGATCTCTCTTTTCTTCTAACCGACTTGCTCACGTGTAACGGTGCCTTGGAAAATTCCAGGAAAATAGGAGTGTCGAGAAAGAAGCTCGACGGGGAAGAAAGGAGTGCATTGTCACTCCGTTATAATTAAGAAGATAGACTTTAAATCCGGAATGCAAAGCGAGAAAGAACGGGTGGGAGAGAAAACCGAGTCGTTGCGGTCTAAACGAGTGGTAAAAGACCGGTCTCCGGGAGATGTAGAAGCGGGCGAGAGACGGGTACGGAGGAAGAGGAGGAGGAGGAGTAGAAGAGAGACTTGGATGGAAATTAATTCATTACTCTAATGCGTTGAGCGAGAGAATGGGCCGGGAGTTGAAGCGTCGAGTGCCAAGTATTTCGCGAAAGATGGATGTCTCGTTTTCATTTCGAAAATTAACACTCTCCGTTACTTGCCAACCGCCCAACAATTTTTTTTCTTCCCTTGTTCCACGGCCTGACCCACCTTGCTTAAATTCCACTTACCTCTGCCACTGCCTCTCGCTCTCGTTCTCTCGTCACGCGATTCCTCTCTACTTTATTTGCCATTCGCAATCCTTACCCGTATTCTTTCGGAAGCGTTCGTTTCGCGACCGTATTATACGTAATTCGACGTTTAGACTCAGTGACGAACGTGATTAATTCTCGTCCGATGCGAGCGTCCTTCGACTATACTCAAAGATTCGTGTATTTCTCTCGACCTTAATTGATCGAGTAGTTCTTAAACAACTGGATCGACCAGGAACTCGATCAGCAAGGATGACGTTGCGAATAGCATTCTAAGTAGCTTGCGAAAGACTTTCATGAAAATAGTTAACCGCTGCTCTTAGATCGTTTCGAGATAAACGTTACCGACGGATAAGGAAACTAAGGGGTGGCACCGGAGCGGGCAACGATAATAATTCCGTTCCGGCGGCGAACGACCAATCTCCTTTTCCATTTAACATACATCGCTAATAATATCTGACTGGCGGAATCGAGCACCGCCTTGTAGTTCTCTCTCACTCGTTCCTCTTTTTCCTGTCTTTCCTTTTTTGGCCCCGAGCACCCTGGACGATCTCTCGACAGGCGCGCCGGGAAGGGACCGGTGCAATCCGACTATCAAGCGAATCCAGCGGACAGGCTGAACGCGGACGTGTCACAAAGTCATCCTAAAGAGTACCATTCATACCAATTTAAAGCGAATATCGGGCCGCGTTTCCATCTACGGATATGCGATTATCGACTAGCGAATCGAAGTGATTTGGACAAGCTTTGGCCGGTCCCTGCAGTAGCAATGCCCGAACCAGTTCAAACAGCCGTCACGGACACGTGTAATTAAATTTAACGCGCCACCCTCCCCCCTGACCTTCCCCCTGACCCACATATTCCCGGCCCGATCCCATCCGGCTATTTCTTTTCCACTATTTCCGTCTCGCCACTTTTGCCGTGTCGACCCATTTTTCGCCCATACTCCGGACGTGTATAGATCCCTGGCGATACCGCGTCGACTCAGCGAAACTCGATTTGATAATCGAATCGAAGTGGCGCGGCGGGCCGCGACGCGGAAACAGCATTAAAATCGAGGATCGCGGTTCGCATATTGAAACGGCGCCTGGTAACATCGTTTTATCGGTCAGTCTCGAATTGGCACGCGTGACGACCGCGCACAATATGCTCGCGATCGCGACGACGAATTTCGGGTGAAAAAGAGGGACGATGAGCGTAACAGCCGCCGGTAGAGACGGTCACGGGTTATGTACTGGTTCGCGAAAGTGCAGTTACAGACATCGGGTATGCCCGTAAAGCAATTAAAGACTGAATTGCGCATTTGTTGGAATTTAAATGCGGCAGTTAAGGAGAATGACATGGTTTCCGCACGCGGTGTAATTTATTCATTAAAAAAGGCGCCAAACTAATTTCGTCGCGTCTCGTTTACGACGCGGGTAGCGCTTGGGCGACCTGAATCGGGAACGATCGTCGAAAATGATAGCGCGAGGAGCAAGAATGAATGCGCATCGATCCGTATTTACTTTTTTAAAATCGTCGGACGGTCTGTCGGAAGGAAAGGGCACGCCGCCGTGCCCCCGTCGCCCGTTGGTGATTGCGGATGCCTTCTTCATGGCCCCCAACGTAATTTTCTGAATGACTGCGTAATTAAAACTCTAATTTCCTGCGCTTAATTGACCGAAGTCTTGGTTCTCTCCTTGCTTGGTTTCTCTCGCTCACTACTTACCTACCTCGATGTCCCGCTGTCGTCCCTTGCCCGATCTCGTAAAAGCCGGGAGCGAAGAAGCCCCTGCCATCCTGCGCGCCTTTAACGCGGAAATCTTCTTTTTTCCGCGCGAAGCTTACAAGGTGGCGGTGTTAATCGAAAAAAATTTACAGCTCCGCTTCGTTCGCGGCCCGCTGTCTTCCATTCCTCTTTCCTTCAGCGAACCAATTCATCCGAACGAGAAGCGAAATGGTCTCATGGTTCCGATTAAATTCTTGTTTGCTTAATGAGATTACTTTAAACGGAAGCAAGAGCCGCCTTTTGAACTATACTTATATATTTGTAAAACCATGGCACTTTCTACGCCCAATTTTCGCTACGATCACGCCGCCACACCACTTGCCAGTGTTTGGGTAATTACATTCGTCTCTGCTGGCCGGAGGCAATTATAATTGCCGACTCCTTTCGCAATTATAAGTTTCTGCGAGAGTTGGCGTGGCGTGCCAGCGCACTGGCAGCATGCTTGCTGGAACAGAGGAGAAGGCCGGCTGCTAAGGGTACGAATGCTGTTGGCGGGCAAGGTCTGGTGGCGGAAAGAGAGAAGACGAAAGGCGAGGGGACGGAACGCGCCGCGTTGCACGTGAAAACGTTAATTGGGGTGACCTGCTCGGAAACTAGTTACTGAAGGACTGTACCAGCGTTTCATGGACCCTACGCGACATTGAATACATACGAAACGCGCGGATGCGCCGGGTCGCGTCGCATTCTACTTGGCCAAATAATTTCTCCCACAGAAGCAATGAGGGATGCATTCTCGAAATCGTGTCAACACGGATGTTCGACTTTCTTTTCTGTTCCTCTCATGCTGGATCGGTACTTTCTCACGGGCGTTGATCTCGTTAAAAACGTCCGTCGCACGGAGCGTTCGAACATATGCACGGGGACACTCCGTTGAGCGGAAAAGCATCGTAACGAAGAAATGGCATTGTGGGAACGGAGCATGAAATATGTAGTTTGCCGACGTGCTCCTGAGAACCACTGCGAGAAGGTGGCGGTCGTGGAAGAAAGTGGAATTGCAAATAAAAAGTCGCAGAAGTAGCGCGTAAAGTATAAGGTAAACCAAAGTAAAAGGAGTGACTAGATGGTAGGGGATAGAAATGGATGTTACTTACTTAGACTTCGAAGCATTTCTATCCCTTCTTCCATTTCCCCTCTACCTCACGGTCCCTCTGTGTCTCTCGTACGGTTCGCTTCTGCGCTTTCTCCTTACCGCCGCGCCGTCGTACCTTTCCATCTTCCTCTTTCCCATCCAGCTTTCCCCGAGTTCCGTGCGCGTGTTCCTCACCACTGAAAGGGCTTTTCTTCCTCCGTCGCTGTCGCCTCTGCTACCGCGCGATGCGAGAGGCAAACCGCTATCCTATGTCCCGTAAAATCCTCCTCGAACCCTGACGTACGGCTTCCGCAGTTCTTTCCAACTCGTTCAGCCACCCCTAAAGGTGTCGGTGAGCTCATTTCGAAGGTGTTCGAGCCAAGAAACTTGCGGGACTACCAGATTTTCTCAAAGCTAATGATCTTCTTCGTTAGAGTAGCGACGCGCGTACAAAAGGCTCCAATTACGGTAGCTAAGGAAAATTACGAAATAACGAGACCACCGTTCGACGCTCCCGGGCACATGGAATTCGATCTTCCCCGCTAGAAGCCGGAGTACCATCGGCCAGTTTAATATTAGCAATGAGAAATAAAAGAGATCGACCGCCAACTACCACTCTTACAATGCCCGTTTAACGCCCGTCCCGCGATTTTTTTTTCGCTCTACACTTACGAAACCCGCAAGCTTTTTCTACTGCAGACACGGCCTGAAACTTTCACCCGCTATTTTCTCCATACCACTCACACGGTTGCTTTTTAACCCTCGGTCTCCCTCCCTTCTTTGTAACTGTCTCTCTTTCGCGTGGACACCGCGATGGAAGCGGTGGCTTCGTGGCACGGAGAAGTTAATTATAAGCGATACCAATCTCTCGGGGTTGTTGGGCGGTTGGTAGAACTGGGAAGCCATGACAGCCAATTACCACCCCGTGCCGACCCTCGCGCGCGAGCCTCCGGTCTCTCTCTCTCTCTCTCTCTCTCTCTCTCTCTCTCCCCTTTCTCCGTCTTCTCTCTTTCCTCCTCCCGTATCCTCGCGCGGTCCTTTTCTCCCATGCCTTCCTTCTCTCGCTCCTCTCTCTCCTTCCTTTCCCTTTACTTGAAACTTTCTCTCCCATTCTCTCGTACCCTATCTTGCCTACATCCGTTTCACACGAACGCACGCACACGCCGACGCCCGCACGGACGTGGAACACCCGCGCGTGCACGGTACGCGCGTACACACACTTACACGTGCTCTCTCCCGCCAGTATAGGAAATTAAAAGACTGGGCGATGATTGCGCGCGGCCCGGTCTGGCCTTTTCTAGCCCCCGCGCGCCCCGTTCGTCCCTACTTCCCAGAGGCTACCCCGCAATCTACCGGCTTGCTGCCACCGGGTAGAGGAAAAGAAAAGAGAGAAGGCATTCGTTCTGCTTAGCGAAAATTACGGAATTGGTCGGGAAAAGTGATTGGGATTGGCCCTTTTACCGCGTTCCGTCCGTGCCTCGTTTCGCCTCGTTAAAGCACCCGAAACGGACACCCTGTTTAGCCTCCCTAACCGTCTGGCTCTGCCCCGTTCATCGGAAGACGGATTTCGGTTGTACGTCTTCGATGTGGCCGCGTACCAAAACAAGCATCCCGAGCACCGGCCCAGCGTGTCTATCCCGATCGGCGTATTCGCGTCGGTACGAAACTGATCGTCTCGTTCAGAAACCCGAAACAGACTTGCAAACGTTCTCTTGCTTGCGAACGGACAAAAAAATGTGTTCCCTATGGTTGTTCGCGCCTCGCAAACAGAGCGAATCGAAATCGGTAGCGTGTCGCAGGGCCTGTGCGCTGGTCCGCCCAGCGAGCGGATCGGTTCCATCCATTAGAGGCTTATGTCAGCCGACAATAGGGATTAACCTTCGGGAGAATGCAATGAGAAAGCGGCAACGGCTGCCGTGACAGCGATCGTACCGGGTGTCGTTTTTAAGCCGCTTCCCGGCGACGGGTTGTTTACCGTTCCTGTGAAAATCTCGGTATTGCCGCTGCAAGGAGAACGAACTTTCAATCATCTGATTGACGATTGATCTGCACTTTTTCTTACGGCGATCCGCGCAAGAAATTTTCGTTGACGCGACCGTTGTTCATTACTCACAAAGTGAAATGCACGGTTGCAGACGCGGCAGGGTTACCTTGTTCACCGGTTAGGTTGAGTTAATTATAACCGATGGTTATCAACCGGTTAACTCAGACACGCCATTACCTCACTTCGGTTCACAGTCTCTCTCGCGCCGCTGCCTGTACCTTGTCTCGCTGCGAGTGTCACTTTGACGCGTTTCCACCCCTTCGCCAAGGGGTCAAAGCGACACTAATCACCGCGCTACGTACCTACAGCCTCGCCAATCGAGAGATGCTAATTTCTTAAACTCTGCGGATGCAAAGGCGCGTATACACGCCTGCGACAAAGTATCGTGACGAAAGCTCGCCTCGGACAACTTCTCGCTGGCCTCTGTTTGTACGAAAACTTGCGACCTCTTCGCGCGACGTCAAAGCGAAGGGGTCACAGGATGCTCCGCGGGCAGAACTTTCAGCTATACTACGTTTTAACAGTTTGTCTTCTCAGCAAGACTGTTCACACTCTTTGCACCTGTACAAGCATTGTTGATACTTCTCGCTGAAGAATGACGCGTCGTCTATTATTTTTCCACTCAGAAATGCTTCGCGTAAAAAAAAGTGTCAAAAACTAAATTGCTCATCTTCATTATAAGATCATTCATCTTTGAGGATCATCTCAGCTCGATGCACACGTAAGGTATTTGCCGAATTTCTAACAAGATCGAGATAAGCCTAACGAACAAGGGTATTCAAACAGCGATGATACAGAAGATTACGAGATTGCCTGCTTCCCGTGTGACGTATCACGGTTAAAACGGTTCGACGGTGTCGAGACCGCAGGTAACTCTTAAGCGAACTCGACGAAACAGAAAATTAACAGTCGATCGTTCCGCTTTGCGAAATTGCATTTAGGCTGATAGCCTTTGAGGGGATATTAGGTCATTCCGCGAACAACCAACTCGGGATCAAAGCGAATTAAATTTCTTCGTGATGTCTGGCTGTGACGTGTACTTTTTATAAATACAAATTAGCCCCTATAATCAACGCGCCACAGACACGTTTCAAACGATTTTGTTTTAAAAATGTATTTCGTTAAATATAACGTTTACGTTAAAATGAAAGACTGAGGATCGACTCTTTTCTAACGCACGATCTAATGCAACCGGTAAGCCCTTTGCACCGGTGGGAAGCTCTCGGGAAGGATGGCGAGTCAGAATCGTACGAAAAGTAACTTTGCCTAGAGGATCGAAGTTAACGGTCGAATCGTTTCTCGAGAAATCAATCGGAGAATGGGCTCGTTAATCTGGCAGGGTGGTTTCTGGATGCTCGGTTGCTCTTACATCACGTAATAGTATCGGGCCATCCCCCCGTTGGCCTTAACCCCCACAAGCCCAGTCCAGTCCGCGGCAGCTCCTCGGAACGGATCTACCCTGCATCTCTCTCTCTCTCTCTCTCTCTCTCTCTCTTTCGTTCCGGCCTCTCAGCCGTTTCCCAGCTAAGTCTGCGAGTGACTGAGTGGTTATTTAGGTAAGAGCCAGTCTCCACGCGCAGAAGCCGCCCACTCACCCCCCTCGCTTAAGTAATGGTCCCACAACATATTGTGCAAAGAAAAACTCGCCCGCTTATTTACGCTACCTCGCTTCTAGGAGGGGAAGAGCGAGAGGGGAATGAGTTTTCTTTAAATCATTTGAGATTAAGTCACTGCTGCTATTAAAACTACCAATCTCTTACGATCTACATAAATTAAACCCGAGACCGGATTAAAAATGATCCGCTTGAAACGCTGAAGTTCTAACGCATTCTCACGCTCAAGTGTGAGATGCTCGAAGGCCCCGTTCCGATTAGTTCTCCGCCATCCAATTAATGGAAGGAAGATCGAGCGGTAAACGTCATCGAAGGACGATTTGCATCGTAATGCGTGCACACCCCTGGTGGCGAAAGTTGATGCAACAAAAATAGCATCGCGAGATCGAGGGTGGCTCATACGTGATGCTTCTACTAATGTCTGGCTACCCGTACAAATAGCTGCTTCTCGGCCGGCATAATTACGGATTAGATGAACGTAAGATAGGCTCTTAACCGATCGGAGCACCAAGGGTGGCCTCTGATCGCTGGATGACCGCCACCGTCGCATCCGCGGGGATCAATCGTGAACGCGTGCCAGATATTCGTTCAGCGAACTGTAGTATTTTCGAATCTCGTGCTACTGCCTGTAGCGGAGCGATCCGGCACGTGTCGGTGCGTCGAGACACGTGCGACTCGATGTCGAAAATCGATATCGTCCCGTAGACTATCCCTTACAATACCGGTCACCTCGTATATTATTTTAACGCGCTTTAAGCTCCCCTGCATCTTTCGATGCACAAATTTGTCTATCATCGCGTCAGTTCGGCGTTCCCATGACGCGTAATCGGTTAATGATTTTCGCTACGCTACTGATTTCATTTATATCGACCTCGTCGTTGTTCAGATAACTTTTCGGGGTGAGATTGGATCGTGAGTGCGATACGTTTTGTGTTTGCAACGGTGGCCCATCGATCTCAGGATCCTTTTTTGTCCGGAGAATTATTAACGCGAAGCACGATATATCGGTTTAATCAAAAATCTAGGCAGTAACGTGCACAAAGGTAATTAAGCGTTTCTATTTTCGGCACTCGTTCTCGTATTTTCATTATAACTAGAAACTGATAAGCCGGGATTGATCGCGCACCGGTGACTGGCGATTTAATTAATTTTTAAATGAAACAGACACAAACAGAGCCGGGCAACGTCGAGGAACAATGGAGTCACTTAGGCAATAAACAAAAACGGGGTAGGTAGTATACGCGGGTCGTCGATGGAACAGTCAGCGGCGACACGCAGCAGCCCAGTAGGGTAGAGATGATCTGATTACGACCGCATCATGGGAAAGTCAACTCGCAAACCGAGGGTAGAAACTCGATTCATCCTATCGTATCCTATTGTACGAGCCAGTGTTACCGATGCGTATAATTCGAAGGGATCCAGTCTGCGTTCGCACGTTTCGGCATTAATTTCGAGTACAAAAAGGTGCAACGCGGCGAAGCCGGTACCGGTTCGTTGTGTCCCGCGTGCACGCGAGCGAAATTCGAACGCGAGTCATTCTGCGTTTCCCGGACGTTCTGTTCGAATGACGACGCTCGATAGGAAATCAAAGTGGGGTGCTGACTAACAGGGAGAAATCATTAATCGTCCGACGAGAGATTTGGGAATCCGGGAAACGCAACGGGTCAGCATCGCCTCTTAACGGAGAGTAAATGAGAATCGACGCATTGGAGAAACGGGAAACGGTCCTCGCGACAGGAAGAAACTACGAAGAAAAGACGGCCCACAATGGGCCGTTTATCAAAAGTCGTGATACCAAGCTGGCCGCGGCGCCTTTCCGACGGTCCATCAATAAAACCAAGTGATTTAGCGAGTCCCACGACGGACTCGGCGGGGAAAAGCAAGGTGGCGGAGCACGAATTTCCAAGATAAAGGGGTCAACAATAGACGGTAACCAATGGTTGGTATTCGGCCAGTGTCGAAACGCCGGCTTCCAATCACTCGCCGATAACAATACCCTCAGTCTGGTTTATAAATCCGCGCATTGTTGCCAACTTAAAAGCTCTCTCGCGACAGGAGAGAGAAAGAGAGACACGGAGGTGGCGAAGAAAGAGGCCGCCAGTGGAAAAAGGGGGTAGTGAAGCGGGCAGGTGAAGGGAGGGAGCAGGGAGAG